CTCTCTCTCTCTCTCTCTCTCTCTCTCTCTCTCTTTCTCTCTCTCTCTCTCCTCTTACATAACGCAAAAACGTCAGTATGTTTTTCTTCACAACTAGGATAGTACACAATAACGAAGCGATCCGATCGTCACTTCGATCTAGCGTCGCGCATTAAAGTAGAAATGTAGTTTGTTATACAGATAAGTAGTTTGTTGTTTTAACTTACAGGGTGGCAACAGTTCTCCGCCTGACACGAGAATGCGACGGCAATGAAGCTATAATCAGCACACACCTTAAGTTTCATAATATTTTTTTATTTTTTTCTACGAAAGAGAACTTACAGCCTATAATGGTTTATAATACTATTTTACGTACGGCACGAATTGTGTCTTACGTGTTGACTGCTAAACGAATTTTTAGATAAAATTCAATACGTACACACGTCCAATGGTTGAAGAAAATTTTTCTAATGGAACTGGCGCTTGTTGTACTAATCCACCTAATCACACGACTGCCTGCGTCATGCCACTTTTCTCATTTTCTCTTCTTGACACATATTTGGATGTTGCAAATTGCCAAAATATCGCACAAACAAGACAGTTCATTAAACTTTGTTAAAACTATTCTTAATAACGACCCACTTATATGTTTCGTTTCCACAAAAATTAAAATCTTGTAAGAAAAACGGTGATTATAGACGTGTTATAAAAGTTACTATAAAGGTACAAATATATACAAAAACTCCTGATTATGTAAGAAGTTATACATTAGATTTGGTCAAATTATCAACATAAAATTATTCTACTGCATTTAAGACCAAAAAATTTTTGTTTCTTGGTATAAAACTGTCACAAAAAATATTAAAACGAAAGAACATTGTTAAGGTCTTGGCAATTTGCAAGGTCTTTACTTACAGAGATCACTGCTTCATTTCCTGCACCCATACTTCCATAGGATGACATACTTTTTCTTACACACATTTGTAAAGTAACCTCATTCCTACCTGCCGTAAACGGCATTATTAGTAAGAAGCGACATTAAGACATCGTCTGAATCAGCATGACGCTACTCACCGATTCACTGTTTACAGGCCTTTTCGGGGGTCTGGGGATTTAATTGTTCGGCTTTACTCAGCCTCACCGTGTAAAAAAAAAACCGGTAGAAGGGCTGAGATAACATCATCCGTCTTCTCATATCGAATTACTTATATATGTAGATATAGATATGCATATATATATGTATATCTAGTACTTGAATTGATTATATGGTAAAGATAATCAAATTGTAGGTGTAATACGTACGTCCTTTTCTCGGTTCAGTACTTACAGTAACGCGCATGTGAGAGTGACAAGTACAACACGAACATATGAGCGGACAATACTTGCAACAATATTGTACAATGGATCTGATTGGAATTGCTTTTTCCAGAGACTCTGGAAATAGAACTGTAGTTACGTTGACATTAGTGAAATACTGTATATCGGCATATTTCTCGTTCGAGCGATTGCCATTAATTACTTTTTTTAATGTCATTTTTTAATTTGCTTTTGATTTTTAACTTCACTTTTCAATGTTTCTCATCGTGGGAATTTGAAAGCCTCGGGGGTGTTTGCCATGTTTTTTCTGTTATATTTTCTTTCTGAGTCTCACTTTTTATTTGATCATCTCTTTGCAACACTAGTTCGCTCAATTTCACTTTCATCTCTAACATAACACACAAGCACGCACGCACGCACGCGTACGCGCGGTAAGAGCAATTATAAATATATTCGAAGATGTTTTTCGGGTCTGAATCGCGTTAGTGTCATTTTTATACTGACATTTCGTGAACATTTCAGCCACAGGAGTGTTCGCAGGGTGGGAGGGAGGGGGGCTAACCCGGCATTTATCTCTCTCTGGAGAAGCAAGTTTTTTCACAAATTGTGTTTTTTATCTTGAAACAAGTTTGAAATCCCTGATTAACAAATTAAATTATACATCTATTCGTGAAAACTCTCTGTAGACACGCCAAGGATGTACAAAATATCTTGTTTATGCGGTAAAGTATACATAGGAGAAATTGGTAAGATGATAAGCACACGACTAAAACAACATCAGTCAGCAGTGCGTCTAAAACACTACTCATAATCGGCATCAGCAGAACACTAATTGGAAACTGATCACAAAATCATGTTTATCCAAACCCAAGTTTATTAAACAAAACTGCAACTTCTTTAGAAAATATATGGACTCCTTGGAAATATACAAGCATCCAAATAATCTCAATAGAGATAATGGACAAATGACCAATCCATTGGATAGCAATCCATCCTGCCATAACACGTTTCCCCTTCCTTTTATCACATTACCTTCCTCTCTACTACACCCCTTTTTCTATAATCTAGCGTTACAAAAAGGAACACCTAACCAAGAGCATCTCATTATCAGGCTGCTCTTGAAACCCTGATAAAGTGAACTGAAACGTCGATAAAAATGACACTAACGCAGTTCAAACCCGTAAAACATCTTCGAATGTTAATACGATCCATCGAGAAAGCATCAAATATCTATATAAAGATAATCAAGAAAAAATCTTTTATATATATCTCTCTCTCCCTCCTTGAACAAGCGTCTTTTTGAGTGATAAACTTTACATACAACGAATTCGATTGGATGCACTAGTGCGCACTTAGTGCGTCTTCTTTCAATGTGTAGTAGATACTAACACTGAAATATTTTTATTTCAGTTTTAGTATTTTACTACACTCTGAAAGAGAACTCTCTTAGTGCGCACTAGTGCATCCAATCGAATTCGTTGATAAGTAGCTGTCTGAAAATAAACAATATGACAATGGAACTTTTAAGTGTTACACGAAACTAATACTTGTTGGAAATAAACCTTGATAAAGTTTCTTAAAACATTACAAGACATTTGTACAAGTTCACAGCATTGAACCAAAGCATCGAGCTTGCCATAAACTTGAAAAATTCCAACAGAAGTTCAGATAGCTACTTGCAATGAAACGTGAATAAGGTAGCAAACATCCCCGTGACCAATTCGCACAAGATGACACTGAGAAATGCGCGAAGCAGTTACTGCAGCACGTTATATAATTCGTGTAACGTTCTAGTACTCGTGGTACCGGGCAAAAATATTGTTTGATCGACCGCGTATATATGCAGTAAAATATGTTATAGGATTACATTCTTATCTGTAATTTGTAATCTGTGCTGATTTTACTGAAGTAATGGATACGATGTACACATTTTTTCAGTTGAGATATGTATGTATATATATAAGATAAATACAATCGAACCTCGATAACTCGAATCTCAAGGGAAAAGCTAAAATTTTCGAGTTGTAAGGGTTTCGACTTATCGAAGTTCTTTTTTCCTTTCCGCAGAGCGGAAGGGAATGAACAAAATTTTCGTCTTATAGAGGTTTTCGAGTTAGAGAGGTTCGAATTATCGAGGTTTAACTGTAATAGACTCTCAATAGCTCTGACAAAATAGAACAAGCAATAAATAACATATTTTGTGGCTTAGAAGAAAAACTGAAGTAAACTTATCAAATCATACGGTATTTCTTGCTTCTATTTCTAAACCACGCGAAAATTACATTGTCTTTTAAATCCGAATTTATACTCATGTATATAAAACATCTGCCCTGTGTTGCACTTTGACTGTATCAAGTGTGAATTGATCGTAATCAATTCTTGAAATACGCAAATAATTACGTAAATAAATATATGTGCTTCTCTTCGACATTTTTTCCCTGTGTGAATTTCGTTTTTTTAATTTCTCCAAAGGACGTTCTTATCTATAGACCTTTTTACGCTTATACTAATGAGCACACCAATTGGCACAAGAAAAGAAAAAACAGATATTCGAATATTCGAGGCAAACTTTTTTGTTGTGTGTATGTGTATATAAAGTATGTAAGTTATATAAATATAAATATAAGTATAAATAAATAAATATATATATATATATCATCTATTTAGCTACATTATGTTCTATAATACTCTCCTGGAAATCCTCTACTGAGATAATTGTATAAATGTCTCTATTGTACTATATATGTATATATATTATATGATACTATACAGGGTGTCCCAGAATTGGTGTAACATCTCTCGTAGATAGGTAGAAGCAGTAAAATTAAGTCGATAAGTCCTATACCATTTTGCTAGATTCGCAATAGTTACCCAGATCTTAATTAACAAGGAAAGCGAATAAGCATGCATCGGGCTGTCTTACGCGCGTAAGACAGCCTAGTGCGCTTCGCGCGCTTACGGTGTTACCCGTGGTAACATATGGGTGGAGCTAATATACTATAACATATAAGGTAAATGTCCCAATACTTAAACGTTTAAGAGAGCTGTTTAACATATACAAATCATACTCGTATAATTTAACTTTTGTTGGTGAGTATTAGTATTTATTTAAAAAACCAGACTATATTTTCACTAAATAAAGCTTTAAAGAACTGGTTTATAAAGAAAAACAAAGTAAATTAATCGAATTCTAACATACCTGCTATGGCCCANTGCTTAAAAAGGTTTTCTAACTTGTCCCAATACTTAAACTATCTTGTCCCAGTACTTAAACGCTATTATTAACACGACAATATAAAACAGGAAAAAAATTATTCATGCATTTTATTTCATGAAAAGTTATAGATTTATTACAAATCACTAAAAACTTTGAAGATTTTACAAAACTAGATTTTACTTAGAGTTTCATAACCTTTTGATAAGGTTATGAAAACAAGTCATCTACTTTATCATATAATATTTAAATATTTTAGTTAAAATATTATTATTTTAGCACGTTTAGATAAAATGAAACCATGAAAACACAAAACTACTTACTGATTTGTTGCAAATTATGTTTTTTCACCGGCGGATTCTCGTACCAGTACATAAACACAATAATTTAATTATTATAACTAAAAATTAAAGATAGAACAAAGTTTTTTATCAATCTATAGTCTATACTGAGTTTGAAAAATCTTTGCTGAACACAAAGTTTATTTTTGTGTATTTAATTATAATCTTAAGAAGAATATACTTTGTCTTACGCAAACCGCTAACGTAAGAGTTGAAAACGCAATAAATTTGCTACTACTCTCAAAAACTATTTTTTTCTTTATCACATCTACTGTTTAGAAAACTTTTATTACAATGTTTTAATAATAATACAATTAAAAATATTAATAAAACTTGTGATTATTGTAAAATATCAGTAAAATAGTTTAATATAAATGAAAATTCGAGTGAGTGTTTAAGTACTGGGACACGTTTAATCACTGGGACATTTACCTTACATATTAAAATGTAATCGTGCGAAGCGCGCTGGGCTGTCCTACGCGCGTAAGACAGCCCGATGCACGCTTATTCGCGGATCTTTGTTAATTAAGATCTCGATAACCATTGCGAATCTAGCAAAATGATATAGGATCTATCAACTTAGTTTTACTCCTTTTACCTGTCTACGAGAGATGTTACACCAATTCTGGGACACCCTGTGTATATATATATATATATATATGTATAGTATTATATAATACTACAGATATACATATTTAACTCAATAATAATCGATAAAAAATGTGTTTAAATGTTTTTTTACTTTTACAAATTTCTCTACAAACAAAATAACTAACCAGTTTCCTTTTTTTAATTTTAAGTAAAATATTTTTGTATAACGTAATATAATTTTCTTTTATAATTATAAGTAGGTAGGTAATATATGTGACGTGATGTTAAGTCAGTGTATACATAGCAGTTTATACCTTTAGCTTTAGTGTTGTGACATAAAACTGCATGCAAATATTATCTTTATTATTAAGTGACTACCTTGTGTGCTCCTTAATAAAGATATTATCATAGTCTAATACATATCGAATAATACGATATTACATCTGGCAAAATCAGGCTAGGTAAAAAAATAATATAACCAAACATGCAAGTGTACACACACACGCGCACACGCATACTCATACATACACAGCTTACACACAGGTCTAAGAAATATATTAAAATTTTACAACTATCTTTGATGTAATATATAAATCTCAAAATAGGAAATATAGGAAATTAATAGAAATTTATGTAATTTCTAAAAAAAAAAGTATTATAATAAAATGTTAAATATTGTTATAAAACAAAATTTATCAACATATTTAATATTTAAATAAATTAAAATTTAATTGTTTAGCAAAAATTTATACTGTATAATATTTAACAATTCTGGCCAGATTATATACTTTTTATCCGTTATTTATGCATCAATATTTTATTTATATTTGTATACTGTTTGATGACCATTGTAAGTGAGAAGTGTAGAAAATAAATGTAATTATTTATAAATATAAATTTTTTATTATACATATATTAAAAATAATTAGGATTTCAAAATTCTTCATGTATGTTTTTTTATAGATATCTATTTTAATACTTTAATTTCCATTGTTGTTTCCAACATATATTTTTCTATGTATTTTAAGTATTATAATACTTATAAGAAGCAAATTTACATAATCAAGAAACTACTTTACTGTTTTCTATTGTTGTATACAGTAAAAAATCGTATGAATGCTATACAACAATCTTGAGTGCTATGTACATCAATGATAAAATCAATACAATGATAAAAAAATCAAGATGAAGTATGTGTGGTAAATTGTGTGTAATCAAAATAAAAGAATGAAATACAGTGAATTCTATTTTAAATATTTTTAATATCTTTGTTTGCATTGTAATATTAAAAAAAATATATTTACATAGCATGTAATATATACATGTATATCAGAATGCATTATTCTGCGCACAGTGCCAATGGTGTGTTATTTGTGTTTAAGGGATTGCCACTTAACATATAAAGTATACTCACTGTTGATGATAAAATCTCATGTGGACAGCAAGCCAGCAAAAAACTCTTGCAGACTTTCGAGTCGGAATATTTCACTTGAAATTTGTTATTTTCACCTAAAAATAATTCCAAATATTTTATGAATAACAGTTTCTTAGAGCAGAAATATATAGGATAGCTAATATAACCGATAAATATGGCTGAATATGGCCGCAGTTGACCATCTTGCATTAACACAAAAAGCGTTTTATGATTCTGACAACATAAGACCATTTGAGTGTAAAGAAGGAATACAAATAAAAATAAGTATATATACCATTGCGTCCTGTGCCCATTAATTGATCGAGCATAGCTCGCATCTGGTCATGAGCCGTCATTTTGGCCGAAGCAGTCAACCTATTCTAAAACGTTCACTGTTCACCGACAATCGAACACGAATTGACCAGCCACGCCGTCTAATACCATCGCACACTTCGAGTTTTCGAGAAATCGCTACGTCACTTGTGTTTATCGATTGCAGTCTTCGACATTGGTTACGTTCAAAAAACTCAACGGTTGAGAGATCATTCCTTAAGAGCCGTCTACAATGGAGAGTTGTACGCCGTAACAGTAAGAAATTGACAAATCACAATCGATTATTCTTCTGTACTTTGTCTGTGATTTGTCAATTTCTTACTATTACGGCCTACAATTCTCTAGAGTCCCTGGAAATAAGAGTCTGGCCAATGTTGTCAAACTTTTCATTGGTTCTGAAACAAAATGGCGGAACCAATGGATAACGTTATAGCCACACATTAAATTTGATTTAAATAACAGTATGCCTGTTCATGGTGGTAGCAGAGAG